AGTCCAACCACCAGTCGCTCACCGGATACCTATGCTCTGTTTCTTCAGTGTATTCAAATCTGAGGTAGTCCTCCGGGAACTCTGGAATGAATTTTCTAAAGGGGAGTGACTTCAGCTGCCTGAGCTTCTCCCAGTCCTCTGTAAGCTCCAACACTCTCTTCCTTTTGTAATATGCCTCAGGCGGCGCTGGTTCTACAAATTCTGCCCCTGAGGTTGTTGTCACCACCTGACGTCCGTCCGTGGATTTAATCCTTTGGACTCTCTTTTCTATTCTCTCCTCAACCTTCTCGAACTCCTTCTTCAACGTTTCTCGCTTGACTGGATCTACTTTGTTAAGCCTGTCCTGAACCTAGGGTTTCCAGAGTTATTGTTTAATAAACGAAATTTATGATTCTTGCCTTACTGCTTTTAAATGCTAACAACATTAATGTACAGGCAATTATTTTCACAATTTCAGTGATTTTAACCCTAGATCCTCCCCCTCACAATGAAACAGAACACTACTGTGAGTGTTACGTTGTGAAAAAGGGAGAAAATCACAAAACAACATAGAACATACATATTATTGTAAAATTGAACCATAGGAAGCAAGGAAATCAGTTATTGTATCTAAATCTAACATATAATAGACCTAGATTCACAGAAATCAAATATATAAAAAGTTTCGCAAAAATGACGAACAAACAGTTATCGCAAAAATAATTTGGGATTCTGTGTTTTTGAACGTTAAATCAGGGAAAATCAACCGTAAAATCGAGTTTATGTACTAAGGTTAACCTAGATCTTACCTTAGATGAAGCTATTATTGGTTGAAATGTCGAGATTTTGAAAAAATTTTGGCTTGGAGAGTGGCGGTTACTAAAGCGTCTGGAGGAAGGTACTGTAGGGCAAAAGTGGAAAATGACTGGTGACTGGGGTATTTATAGGGTTTTCTAGTGCTCATCTGAAGGGCGAGCGGAGCGCTGCCTAGTCCATTATACTTATTTATAAAGGTATAAGAGAGGGTTTTCAGGACGGGTGAGCGAGTAAAGCAATACTTCTATTTATCTAAGAATGACACACAAGCGGTAATGGAAGCAGTATTGGATGAGCGATACTGCTCTCCCAGTGAATATCAGGGTGAGACAAGCGAAGGGATAGATGGCTTGGGTCAGGCTTAGGTTAGAAGTTAAAATGCTAACATTAAACTACTCCTATAAAGCGATAATCCTATTATAATGAAAGCGATAACAAAACTGTAAACCTATACTATGAAAGCGATAAGAATTATGAAATCTATCTATGAAAGCGATAAAGAAAACTTGTAAATTTTAACTATGAAAGCGATAAATTCTAACTAGGAAAGCGATAAAAGAAAACTGTAAAATTGGCGGATATAAGATTAGGCTTCTGGATTCTTTTTCTCCAAAATTCTATCATTGAACGAGCTTCTGAACCTCCATCAGATTAATATCTGCACTGGCCTGCTGCAATATAGGCCCTTCGATATACGGTTTCAGCCTTGCTCCATTCACCAGGAAGGAGTTTCTTTCTCCTGGGGTTTCCAAATTATTGATCCTTATGGCTCCACTTGGCAGCACTTGTCTGACGATATACGGCCCAGTCCACCGTGACTTCAATTTCCCTGAGAATAAGTGGAGCCTAGTGTCGTATAGAAGAACCTTGGATCCCACAGTGAATTCCTTCTTCTTCAACTTCTTGTCATGATAGAATTTCATCCTTTCCTTACAGAGTTTAGCACTTTCATATGCAAGATAACGGAACTCAGTCAAATCGAGCAATCTTTTGGCGCGCTTCTCCTCTGCTGGGAGAAGATCAAAGTTGAGATACTTGATGGTCCAATACGCGCGATGCTCGAGTTCCAGAGGTATGTGACAGGCTTTTCCATATACAAGCCGAAAAGGGGACATTCCAATTGAAGTTTTGAAGGCTGTTCTATATGCCCACAGCGCATCATCCGATTTCTCTGCCCAATTCTTGCGACTTTTATTTACTGTGGTCTGGAGGATGTGTTTGATTTCTCTATTTGAAACTTCCACCTGACCGCTCGCTTGTGGATGATAGGGAGTAGTTAGATGCTAGCGGACACCATATTGTTGAAGGAAAGATTGCAGCGGCTTATTCACAAAGTGGGTGCCTTCATCGCTTATTATCGTTCTGGGGACCCAAAACCTTGGGAATATGGTATATTTTTAGGAAGCGGATCACAGATCGAGCATCATTAGTGGTGAGCGTTTGCGCTTCAACCTACTTGCTCACGTAATCCACCGCCACCAGAATGTATAATGTCTCATTGGAAGGCGGAAAGGGACCCATAAAGTCTATCCCCCATACATCAAATATGTCCACAAAAAAAACTCCAGTTTGGGGCATCTCATCTCTCTTTGAGATAGATCCTAATCTTTGAAACTTGTCGCAAGATTTGGCAAAGGCATCATCATCTTTCTGTAGGTTAGGCCAAAAGAAGCCCGACTGCAAAACTTTGGCCGCTGTGCGCAGGCCAGCGAAATGCCCTCCTACATGGGACCCATGACATTCATTCAAGATCAGCGGGATCTCAGATTCCGCTACACAGTGACGGATTATCCCATCTGCGCCGATGTTGAACAAAAACGGTTCATCCCAAAAATAGTCCTTTGCCAAACTGAGCAATCTCTTCTTTTCCCTTTGTATAGTATGTACTGGAAACTGTCCTGTAGTTAAGAAATTGGCCAGGTCTGGAAACCATGGCTCCTTCGCTTACACCAGGAACAACTTCTCATCTGGGAATTGTTCGTTGATTCCAGGAGATATGTCCTCTTCTTGCCTTAACCTAGTGAGGTGATCTGCCACATGGTTCTCTTTCCCCCTCTAATCCCTGATCTCTATGTCAAATTCCTGGAGCAACAGAACCCATCTGATCAAGCAAGCTTTTGTCTCCTTCTTCTCCATCAAATATTTAATAGCTGTATGGTCGGTGTGAACAATGGTCTTGCTTTCGATAAGATATTGTCGAAATTTCTCGAAAGCGAAGACGATAGCTAGCAGCTCCTTCTCGGTTGTAGTGTAATTCTTTTGAGCAGAATCCAGTGATTTACTTGCATAATAAATGATGTTCAATTTAGATTCCACCCTTTGTCCTAGTACAGCGCCGACGGCATAATCGCTCGCATCCGTCATCAGCTCGAATGGCTCACTCCAAACTGATGCTGAAATTATAGGAGCGGAGGTCAACTTCTCCTTTAGTATTCGGAAAGCCTCCTCACACTCGCTTGACCAGTGAAACTGAGAATCCTTGCACAACAGTGATGTAAGTGGTTGGGTGATTTGACTGAAACCCTTGATGGAACGACGGTAGAAGCCCGCGTGTCCAAGGAAACTTCGCACTCCTTTCTTATTTGAGGGCGTTGGCATCTTTTCAATTACACTAACTTTCGATCTGTCCACCTCAATACCGGCGGATGAGATTTTATAGCCTAAGACAATTCCTTCATTTACCATGAGATGACACTTCTCCCAGTTCAACACGAGATCAGTCTCAATGCAGCGGAGAAGTACTTTTTCCAAGTTGTTCAGGCATCTGGAAAATGTCTTGCCATATACCGAGAAGTCATCCATGAATACTTCTATGCAGGAGTCCAGGAGATCGCTGAAGATATGGTACATGCATCGGTGGAAGTGGCCGGAGCATTGCAAAGCCCGAACGGCATCCTTCTGTAAGCGAAAGTCCCATATGGACAAGTGAATGTAGTCTTCTCACAGTCCTCCGGTTTGATGGGAATTTGATGGTAGCCTGAGTAGCCATCGAGGAAACAATAGTATTCGTGACCTGCAAGCTTCTCAAGGCATTGATCAAGGAAGGGAAGCGGGAAATGATCCTTCTTCGTGGCAGAATTCAATCGTCTGTAGTCGATGCAAACCCTCCATCCAGTGACAGGTCTTATCATCAAGACCTCCCCGTCGTCGCTTGTCTGTTCGACAAAGCCTCCTTTCTTGGGAACCACCTGGGTTGGGCTGACCCACTGGCTGTCACTGATAGGGTATATGATTCCTGCATCGAACAGCTTGATCACCTCCTTCTTGACTACCTCTTGCATATTTTCGTTTAATCGCCGCTGAGGCTATCTGCATGGCTTAGCATCAGCATCCAGCCTTATATGGTGCATGCACACCGCTGGGCTGATTCCTTTAATATCTGTGATCTTCCATGCAAACGCCGCTTTTCTTCTTTTGAGAAGTAAGACGAGCTGAGCCTGGTCCGGCAACAGTGATGAGGAGATTATCAGCGGGTAACTCTCCTCCGGGCCAAGGAATATATAGTTGAGGTGTTCAGGTAATTTCTTCACCTCATCCTTTATGTTGGCGTCGCTGGCTGGTTCCCTTGTTGCTTGTTCAATGGATTTAGTGAGCGCTGGTGTGTCACCGCTTGTCTCAGTTGAATCCTCCGCAGCTTTCAGTTCAAGTGACCCGTTATCTGAAATTCCTTCCAGATTTTCAAGTGTAATAAGGTTCTCAAAAGTTATTATTTCATTTAACTCATTGATAAAATCAAAATTTTCTTCCTGAGGTTGACGCAATGCTGAGTTCATTGAAAATGTGACTTTATCTCCACCGAAGCTTAATGAGATTTCGCCTTCGGCGACATTGATCGTGGCTTAAGCGGTGGCAAGGAAAGGTCTCCCTAATATTATTGAAATTTCGCGATCCTCGCTCATTTCCATTATAATGAAATCTGCAGGGAAAATAAATTTGTTTACTTGCACGAGTACATCACGAATGATTCCTTTAGGTAATCTTATTGATTTATCGGCAAACTGAATTACAATTCTGCATGCTTCTAATTCATAAAATCCTAATTTAGAGAAAAGCGAGAAGGGCATAAGATTCATACTTGCTCCTAGATTACATAATGCCCTAATCGGCTCTAAATTTCCTATAGTACAAATAATAATAAAACTCCCAGGATCGCTTAATTTCTTCGGGAGGTCCTCCTTAAATACGGCACTGCACACACTCTCCAGCTACACCGCTGCCGCTTCGTCAGGGAATGCCCGCTTTCGGTTGATTATATCTTTGATGAACTTAGCGTAATGTGGCATCTGTGACAAAGCATCAGAAAACGGTATAGTAATTTGAAGACTACGAAAAGTATGCACAAACTTATCAGATCTCTTGGAGTTGTCCTTCTTCCCAAGTCGTGTGGGAAAGGGGGCTTGAGCCAAAGGCTGAGCGGGGCCCTTTTCCTTCGGTTCAGGCACCCGAGCGGCTGGTATCGCTCGCGGTTGGGATGGACCTTCCTCCCCAGTCGGAATCTGTGTATCTTCATCCTGCACAGGCATGTTAGCAACAAAAGGGTTAGGAGAATGATTAATACCTATGTCTGGCAGCGGTGGTGATTGTGTCCGCTTCCCTCCCCTTGTTTCGATGGCCTTCGCTTGATTTGGGACAGTCTCGACTCTCCCAGGCAACGTTCCTTTCTGCTTTAGTTTTATAGCTTCAGCTATCTGCCCGACTTGTATTTCCAGCATTTTGGTCGAGGCAGAAATATTTCTTTGGAACTCCTGATTTGCTCGCTCTGTGTTCCTCCAGAGCTCCTCCAGACTCAGCGGTGCTTGGCCCGCTGTGGGAGGTTGAGCGAATGCAGGTGCCTGCTGCGGAAAGTGGGGGGCTTGAAAGTATTGCTGTTGATTTGGATAATAGCCCCCTTGATGATATTGTTGCGCAGCGAACTGTTGTGGCCTCTGAAATTGTTGCTGAGGACGCAGTCTAGCGGGGCCTTGAGCCTGCCACTTTTGGAACTGCTGGAATTGAGCGGCATTTATGCCAGCCATATAGTAGACCTCCGTTGGGTTCTGAGCCTCTTTAGTTGAGCACTCAGCAACCTGCGGACCTTGTTGGTCTTCAAAAGCTCTTTCCTCACATTCCGCGGCCTTGTGCAGCGCCTGTTTTCCTTTATTACGCAGGTCCTGCTTGATGAGCTTAGACAGCTCCTTGACTTGGATCGATAGACTGTCGATCCTTGCATCATGAGAAACGGAAGCAGGAACCTGGTATAGACCCCTCGATGGCTCGGGCCTGTTGGACTCTGGCCAACTTGACTGATTGGCCGCCATTTTTTCTATCAAAGCCCTCGCTTTCGAGGCGCAGCGCCCCATTAGCGAGCTTCCTGCCGTTGCATCCAATGACATTCTTAGTTCATGAGTGATTTCTTAGTAGAAAATTTGAAGCTCCATGAAGTCCGGAATTTCATGATGAGGGCAGTTACGGAGCAATTGTTTAAATCAGCTCCAGGCTTTTGGAAGGGTCACACTCGCCATCTTGAAAGTGAGTATTTCATTCCTTTGGCGAATGGTCTTTGATACATGATGATATTTACTAACGAAGGCCTGCGCTGCTTCCTTGAAAGAGCCAGGAATGGGATAAAGGTTATCGAACCATTTCCTGGCTTCTCCAGATAACAAAAATGGAAACAGTATCAGCTTTGCAGCGTCCTCTGTGATGCTGTGAGATTTGGAGGTGGCAGTGATCCTGTTAAAGTTCTGTAGATGCTCATAAGAGCTTTCGTTGAGCAGCCCATGAAATTGGCTCTGGCTCGCCAGGCTGACGAGCGCTGGTTTCACCTCATAGTGGCCAGAGCCTCTCGGTGCAGAACTTGTAATTAGTGTATGATCCAGAAGGGACTGGTAATGAACGTCCATGGGGACTTCAGCAAGCGGGCATTCAGCAGCCCTGTGTCCCTCAGCCATCTGGTAAGACTCAACAGTAGGTGGTGGGGAGTGATGGTAGCGGGTATCGCAGCGGTGGTGGCAGCTTGAGCCGCTTGGGAAGCGATAAATGCCCCCTGCGCAGCTTGAGCTTTCTCCACCTGAGCGAGGTGCGCTTGCAGCCCCGCCATTCCCTGTTGGATGCTACTGAGGGCTCTCATTAGTTGCTCCTTAGTCGGTGTGACTGCATGGGGAACGGCAGTAGGGACCACAGTTTGGATGTGGAGCGGCACCTCCTGCGAAGATGCAGATGTGGCAGAGTTGGAAGATGTCCCAGCGGCAGTCTGGAAAGCTAGGAAGACAGTAGAAGGAGCGGTGGCATTTCCTTGGTTCGCCATAAGTTGTTCTCGAACTTGCTCTCTAAACAGACATCTTTGTGATCGAACGGAAGGAGTAGGACTTGTGGGACGCTGAAAACGCTTCGGACCCCTACATAATGATAGCCACATCAAGGAAAAAGTTAGCGAAATTAGTAAAAATACAAAAATCATTACAAAGAATTTAAACATAATTTATGACGCTTCGAAAGATCCTCAACCAGAATACTTTTCGTGAGTTTAAAAATCCCCGGAAACGGCGCCAAATTATGATGACGCTAAGAATGTCTTTATTTTTACACAATTCACAGGGAATTTATATGTGGAAATCAGTGAGTGGAAATTTATAGAAAATGATCAGATATAATAATTTTTGCGGTTGTAGACCCTGAGTAGTCATCAAAATTATTTATACTCTTTTTACTGGTGAGTTTCCAGGTCGAACGCAAGGATTTTAAGTCATGAATTTCAACAGTGAAGATCTTGAAAAAGTGATGAAAATGCAGGAAGGGATCCGCTTACAGTGGATCCAATAACTAGACTATAAAAAGCGGTAAGTAAAGCGATAAAGATGGAGTGAGCGGGAGTGAGCGAAGCGAAGGCGGAAGATGAAGTGCCAGCGGTAGCCAGATGATCGGGACATGAGCGGAAGTGGGGACTAGATGAACGGGACATGGATGAGTGGCGGTTACCAAGTGATCGGGACATGAGCGAGCGGCACATTATATGCATACATATATATATATATATAGATGAGTGACCGAGAGTGAAGAAGAGATGTTGTATCTGAACTGTGCGTTACTAAATGGATAGATTTCCCTGGAGGCAATGAGCGAGCGATGAAGTTGTGTTATCGGAATTATATGTATTTACGGAAACGGTGAGAAGGAAGTAGTGTTATTATATAAACTGAATATAAAGAATTCATAACACTGGAATTTCTGACCTTAAATGATTTACAACAAGACTTCAATGACACCCAGATTCAAGATATTATAAGAAAGAAACCCTACTGTCACTAGGAATCTCTACGACCTAATAGACCACCGCCTATATCCAGTTAATTTTCCCAAAATCTGTCTCATTTGTGGCTTTACCCTTCTGTTACCTCTTTTTAATCAAAATTCAATTCAGAACAGCAGTTAAGCAGGTTGACAAGGCTCCCGCGTACTTAACTACATTGAACTACCTTGAGACTGCTTTTGGCGCATAACAAGGCTCAAATAATCAATTCTTCTTTAGCTCTAAACCAGTGGAATGGAATTCTCCAATTTCGAAGTTTATATAAGTGTGTAAAAATGGTGGAAGAATTTAGGATGAAGAACTGATATTTTATTATCTATTACGAAAGTATGAAAAGACTAATGTTACAAAGCTGTAAACAAAAGCAGTAATCTAATCTAAGAAAACCGTAAATACTTGGCCAAGGGAGAAGGAGAACTCTTACTCCCTTGGCCATTCCTGTGGAGAACTCCCTTACAGGGTTGGAGCTCTCAAAAACAGGAAGACGACTTTGCTGGGAAGTACTTGCTAAGAGTGTTTAAAATCGACGTATCGATTCTTTTTTACATAAAGATATCTGGACCAACAAGTCGGATGGTCTGTAAGTCGGGAGGTTTGCGGTTGGACCAGTAAGTCGGGTTGTTTGCAAGTCGGGAGGTTTGCGGCTGGACCAACAGGGCGTAAGATCTGCGGTCGGTCCAAAAAGGCGGAAGGTTTGCGGTCGGACCAACAGGGTGGAAGGCCTGCGGTCGGTCCAAAAAGTCGGAAGATTCGTGGTTGGATAGGCAAATCGGTTAGTGTGGAAGTCGGATACTGTTGAGAGCGAGTGAGAGTAATAGTTTGGTCGGCTAAGGGCACGTGTCAGCAGAAGAATAGTTAGCATACGGTTGAAAAAGGCGTTGTAACCGTTCGGGCGACGGTTTCCAGTACCGTTTCTGAAGAGTATTTAAGGATTGGGACTTGCAACTAACAGTGGATCTTCATTTATCTTCAAACGACATCAAAGTCAAGAGATTCGGGGATCATCATTTACATTTTCAGTATTTTAATTTCCAATTAATTTTCTGTACCGTACAGTGTTTAGAGATTTCTATTCTCAGGCGCTAAATATATCAAATTCGAAGATAATTTCCTATTTTCGAATTTTACTTTTTATTGTAAAAGGTAATAATGTGGTAGAGAAATGTTGTTGTTTGGAATAAGTTTTTTTTGTATTTAATAATAATATATTTAAAAAGAATTATATTTAGCAATAAACAAATCGATTGTGATTTATATTTATATTTACTAATAATATAATGATCATTTATGTAATATATGATCTGTTCAACCAGCAGATTATAAATGACAATGTGTGTTTCATAATTACAACTTACATGAAAACATCTGATTTGATAACTTTTCTATAGATAGGACAGGCAATCAAAAAATTGATCTTGTATGTGACTACAATTAATTAGTGCAACTCAACATAAATACATGCTTTTACAAGTCGGATTGTACAATGCAGTGCTTCAATTCAATGCAAAAATAAGTATTTTAGTTGTTATCTTCACGCAACAACAATCTATTGTGACTACAATTACCAATCACATAAAATATTCCCAACAAAAAATGTTCATTTCTGGCAGCACCCAACATTAAATTAAAATCACTTTCATCAAGTAGACTGTTCTCATGCAGTGAGAACATTTATTAGCCGAACAAAAAGGGGCTATCTATTTTGATGTCTGCAGAAGTTACAGTGCTTTGTAGATATTAGTCTTTGCAAGGTTGAATAAACCAACAATATTCATACATACGTAAATACATCTATGATATAGGGAGAAGAAGGAAAATCAGACCCCATAAATTCAAGTGCAGTAAATGCATTTTCTAATTCTACATCTTTTCACAATCAGATTGAAATCATCCCTTCCCATCCAAAGAGATGCCAACTGGAGCAGTCTGCATGATACAAGGTAGCAAACTCATTGAATGTTGTATATACGTAGATACCAATGCATACATGGTTTCACACACAAGATCATTTTGAGTTTCAATTCCATCAAGATAAATTCTGGGAATAAGTACATAAATAACACATTCTTTACAGTTTGCTTCTTTTTATTCTCAACTAGGAGATATATGAAGTTCATGAATTAGACAAATATACATTACAAGTAATTGATAGCTTGGGTATATTAAGGCGTTCAAAATTTGGTCATCAATCAAAATACCTCAACTAAGATATTTCGAGATCGATAACTCTTATGTGCATAAGCCATCTCCACAACAGCAGCTCAAGGTAGTTATTATATCCCAAAACCTGGCCAAAAAACATATTATACACTATCTTTACGAGGCAGGTACACTAATGCTAATATCAGATTCAACTGACAATCAAAATTAAAAAAAAAGGACACTTTAAACCTAGTAGTTCACAACACTTATCTTCTTCCTTCTGACTCTATCGAGCTCTATGTAAACTAGATATGCATGGAGCTAATTTGGGTCGATGACACCTCATTCTGTCATCCATGAAAAATGAAACCTAAAGTTACCCCAAAGTGAATGCCAAAACTGCTTATTTCTCCTTAAGCGATAATACATAAAAAATATAATGAATCATTCAATCGAAAAAGTAAATATAACTCCCACCAGACAATTAAAGGAAGTCAAAATAAGTTTCAAAATCAACAAATATCACAACATAATTAGAGCTTACTAGCGAAATCCTTATACAATATTTGATAATACATGCCGAGACGACAAAACACTAGCTGCAATATTTGATAATACATATGCAGTCAAAGTAAGATACTCAACGGAACAACATGCATGCATATAAACATTATTACAGAAATAACCAAATTAGCCAGCATTATACAACATAACATTGAAATGTCTTTCTTGATCCTTTTAGCCAAGTTGCATGAACATGCACATCGACATGCATCACCCATACATGGCGGTGGTGATGTAGCTCTTGAATTACCAGTGTAGAAAGACCTTTCCTTCTTCATTTCAAATTCCCGATATGATTGTTCAGTTTGGTCGTCTCCCCAACTTAACCATTTATCAATGTGGTTACACCTGTAATATAACCTACCCGGATTGTTTACGCTCTTAGCAACTTTAAGTGCTCCCTCTCCACCGCATGGACATCTTGGTACCATGACTAGGTCTGAGTATACCTCGGAAGAGATAAAAAAGTAATCAACCATATTGGCGTGGACAAGATTACAGTGTTTCTATCAATACCCAATTCACTTATATCATCTAAATAGCTTTAAAATTACTTATAAATAATTATTGTATTCAAACCTTCAGAAAGTTGATGAAAACATACTAAGGAGAGATATACAACAACGATATATAATAGTTAAAAAGAACTACCAACGAATAATGAAAATAAAACCCGAACATATCAAACTGAATCACAATAACAATTCCAACCTTGATGTGCCAAAACACAATATCTTACTCCAACCAAGTATATGCTTTAAAAGCACACTGGTTTCAAAGGAATTAAATATTTTTAAACCTAACAGTAAATTTGATTATGCAAAATTCACCCTAGGTTGGTTTGGTTGCCAAAATACTTGTCCAAATAAACACATAACTTACACACATACAAGAAGGCACAAGCATATTTACTGTCAATACAAGTTGCAACCTGCAACTTTGTTACTATTTTATCACATCAATAACACATAAGCAAAAAAAGATAACCCATTCATAAAACGTACATAACGACACGAGAGAAAACCCAAAACGTCCCTTCGAATCAAACCCCTGGTTTGAGACCTCAAAATGTTCTTCGAATCAAAGCCCTAGCTTTGAGACCCCAACGCCTTCAATTTCTTAAAGCACTCGCGGCCAACATTCAATTAAACTCAATTAAACAAGAAAAAGAAAAAAAAAAAACTTACCATCAAACACCGGCGATCCACAAGCTACGCCGGAAAAAGTCGAGTTTTACAAAAGCAGGAGAATTCTATGGAGGCGAACAGAACTGGATCGGAGAGATCTGGATCAGGAATTTGAGAACGAGAAAGAAAAGAGGAGAAAAAAGAGATGGAAAAAGAATATTTGAGAAAGAATATAAAAGCTTCAATGTGGCCTCTTCAATGCGAGGGGGGTGGGGCAGGGCTGGGAAATTTGACCCGCAACAGCAAAGCCATTGCATGTGTTAAATTTCGATGGTTGGCTTCGAAATATCCAAAATCGCCTCATCCCATGGGCCATTGCAATTGCTCTGATAAAGTGCTGATAAAATATTGCGGAATCAATTCCAATCAATAATTTAATACTTCCTTTGTCTCAACTAAATTGTCCTATTTACTTTACCCACCAGAATTTTAAATATTGTATAATTAATAATTAATTAAGAAATGTATTAATAAAAATAATAATGATTTAATAAAAATAATTATAAATTAAGATTAAGATGACTAAATAGTTTAATTAAAATAAAAAATTATAAATTATGAATTTTAAAATGTGATTAAAGTGTATAATTATATTTTTTAAAAAAAGGAAATGACAAATTATGTGGGACAGACGAAAATAGAAAAATAGGACAAATTCAGTGGGACAGAGAAAGTATAAAAAAAGTATTTCTACATTATAATATATTTTTTAATATTTAATATAAAAATACTATAAATTTAAAATACAAAACAAGTGCTACATTAGGCGGCGGCTACAGTGTTAAATGTAAAATTCAGCACTATGCTAAATAGCACACCGTGTGCTACGGGACAACACACGGTATTACCATAAACAACACACAATATATGTTAATATAATACAAATACAACACATGACCTAACAACATATGATATAGTCTCATACAACACATACAATAGTTGATTTTAGCATATGACATACTATCATACAACACACGCTATAATTATGAACAAACAACACATACTTTTATTACAAAAAACACATGTTGTATATAATAAAGACATATTATTTTTCTGTATTTTACATATGCTGATTTGAAAAATGAACAGGGTGCTGAATTTCCCCACTACATTATTTTGGCTTTAAGAATGTTTTGTTAATATTCTAGTTTGAAGTATATTTTTTAATGGAATGTATGATAATTGTATCAGTGATATAATACATAACATTTTGGATCAAATATTTATTTTTAGTGAGCAAATAAAATATTCTATGTTGAGATATTTTATATATTTGATTTTTGATTTAGTAGATTTATATTTAGACTTGGTCTTATCTATATACTCCCTTCGTCCCAAATATCATGTCCACGTTGCCATTTCCATCTGTCCTACTTAATTTGTCACTTTCCATTTTTGGCAAAAAATTACACACTTTAAACATTAATTAAAAATCCTAATCTAAATATAATTATACCTATTTACTACCCCACCTACCCATATTTTAATTATCTTAATATTACCCACAAACCTACCCAGATACTCACATCACATTTATCTTCTTTCTCTGTCCGCAATCTGGAAAACCCTACCGTGGAACGACGCCTTTGTCTGCCGATGTTGTCACACCGCCATTTGCCATCAATTGTTGCTCCGACTCCAAGGGATCGACACCCTATCCCCACTGTGGTTTTTCGCTGCCTTAATTGTTGGTATTCTCTAATCGAAAACCCTAAATCTCCTTACAACGCCCCATTTTCTGGTCTTTACTCCGGCGACGGCGATTCGGTAATTTTCTCCGGCGAAAAGGTTGGTGCGTGCGAAGACAACAGTGGGTGGGTGCCGGACACGGAAGAGCCCTTCGATCTCGGACTGGATCTCGACGTTAGTCTTTCGATTGTGAAACCACGTCTGCAACTGCTCCTCGTCCTCGAAGTTTGCCGGTAAAGGACGAGGGGTTGGAAGGTAGCGTTGGAGTCCCTACCGAAGCTTGGGATATTTGGTTTGCGCTTGGATTTGTCCCCAAATCTGAGGATGAGGACGAGCACGAGTACGATGTAGAACCTACCACTTACCTATTTCAATCGTCCCTACGAACATGTCCTTTTACAGAACGCTGGTGAGATCTAAATCATACTTTTCTCATATTTGTGGGTTGTTGGATTAAAATATGAGTATATTGCAATTCTTGCCTAAATAAGTTGTTAGGGCTTGATTTTGCTGTCGGTTGGCTTTGATTAGAATTACTGATATTTTTCACAGGCTCATTAATACCTTAACTGTCTTGTTATTGTCGATTCCCTTGTTTTTGAACATTCTAAATGTTCTGTTATTGTCGGATCGGATTGTGCATGTGATTTCAGATAGTGATTCTTGTACATATACTTAAAGTGAATATGTTTTCATTTATGAACTCGGATTCTTAAGCATGAACTCAAGTTAAAATTGTGAAAACAAATATTTTTTAGTGACTTGCATTTCATCGTATAACATTTAACATTATGTGCCTAAGCACATACTGCTTCTTCATTTCATAAATCATTCTTACAAAATATTTACAAAATAACCTACTTTGATCTATTTTCACAGGTATAGTAACCTTTAGTTACTTACAAAAGTTTTATCATTCACATATTGCTATCTCTAATAACCTAGGTCATACATAACCTTTTCAATTCCATTGGCAGCCCCTTCTTTCAATTAGATATTGAATGCATTCATGCACTAATTGCATTGAAACAGTTAGTTGATTTAGAAGATTCATGTCTGGAGAGTTTGGTGGTTGTTGGATAAGAACTATGTTGAAACCATCTGTATTTGCCACACGAACAAAGTCTGCATCATCACCTTTAATAAGTGCTTTTGTATTGTCTTGTTGTATCAATATGTGTTTCGAAAAATTGGGTGGCCATTCTCTTTTATGGCTGGGATAATTTGCATGTAGAAAATAGACACATAAATTGCATACACAAGCCTGCATACATTCTGTATTTTGAAATGCAACAATTAATTAGAGAAACCAGTTATCTTCTATTATAATTAAGAGAATATAAGACATCAACACTATGTTTTCTCACATTTCAAATCTCTTATGTTGACAAATAAAGTTTACCTGGTTAATTAAATAGCTTTTGGTGACCTGCTTTTTCACGGATTGAACTGGTTTAGTCTCTAAAGTGCCGGCCATTCGATTTTTGCTTGATCTTTTGGCCGGAACTTGTTTGAATGGAAAAATTCCTATTTTCCCATCAAACAATAAATTCCCATCTTGATCCCATATAGAGCGTGAAACAGCACACATGAACATTACTTTTGTAATGATTTTTTTGCTTTTGCAAGCTCTATGTGGATCCTGTTCCATAGGAGTCAAGTAATATCGATGTGTGACCTTTGTCATATAGAACCATTTCTCATCAAAGTGTACTACATTATGCATATTTTGAAAAGATGCATTTTCAATACACCTATGAACATCTAAGGCTTGTATTGAAAAAGACAACCTTGCGAGTTTGTTGGCATCAGTCAACTGTGGCCTGATTGCACTTGTATGCGGCCTGATATGCTTCTCTTTTTATCCATCTGTGGACAGTTGATTTTGATGTTTGTAGGCCCTTTGCCATATTTCTAATAAAAGATCTTTGCACCAACGGTAAACTTTCTATTTCATTCAAATTTGGTGTCATCTTATTTTTTCGGACCACATATTTCTTCTTGTTTATACTAATAGCCTCACCTTTTTTAATTTGCTCTTTTGCAGATTTTCAATGTCTTCGCATTGTCCGTACAGAGCAGTTGAATAATTTTGTTATTTATGTGACTCTTCCCTTGCCCAACTCCAATCCTTCATCGTATGTTTCGAGCATAAATTGAACCATATTGTTCAATTCTGCAATGGTAAGAACTTTTTTGGTCATTGAGGTAAGATGTGGTGATTAGTGATTTAATGTGGCTTGATTTTGTGAAAGTAAAAATGGTGTGAACGTATTGTTGTATTTATTGGTTTTTTATTCAGGAAATATTTGACACGGATTGGAGGAAAATTTTCAGTTTGTTTTGTCATGGTTTGGAGGGAATATTTTATCCTAAAATTTGACATGTTTTTATGTATTGAAACAGATTATGTGTGTTTAGGGTATGTAAATGTATAAGTGTATTGATTTTGATTAGACTGTTGTCCTTTTTACTTTTGGACTGCACAACCCACGTGGGCCTCTTTTTAATTTTCATATGTAATTTATATTTTTTTTAAATTCATCTCTTAATAATATAATTACACTAACTAATTTTCCCCACATAAATTTCCGTGTTTACAGGAACGTGGCCACATTTTTTGGGACGGAGGGAATATTAGATTACTTAGATTTAAGTCTATTGAATCCGTTTTGTATTGTTTATATATATGTTCCTTTATTTTGATGATCAATAAGAAAAATTCATTATTTTTCCCTAAAATTTCTAACATGGTATCAGAGTCTATTTTCTTATGCCGTAGATTTAGTCTAGCAACCCGTGTTTCTCCGGGTACATTCAACTTGAATTTTACCCCGAGGTCTTATGATTTTGAGATCATGTCTTTAAAATTTGTCTGAGATATGTCTGCTGGCCTGATTTTCCAAAACAGAAACCCTAGCAGCCGCCATCAGTGTTCGCCGCCCCTTACTACTCGCCAATCGACACAGGCTCTGCCGTTGGAAGCGCCTTGTCGTTGTTGCCAGCCATCGAAAATTCGCCGCCAAACGCCGATATGGAGCCGCTCTGCGCCGCTAACGCAAATCGCGGCAGAAGAGCTTTTCCGCCGCCGCTCTTCCGGCCACGCATGTGGATGCATGGGGCTACCTTCGGCCGCCATTTTCCAGCCGTCGCCTTCTGCTTTAATTCCCTACTGTTACCGGTTGAGTTGTTATCGGAGTTGATTTTGTGTTTGCGATTGTTACCGTTTGGATTATTCGATCTGTTTTGCGATCTGTTATATTATTTGTCTGGTGTCTATGATATGTTCTGTGATCTTTTCGATTTTTTGTGTGATTTGTCTATTTTCTGCGATCTATCCGATGTTTGCGATCTATTCTGCAATATGTCCGGTGTCTGCGTTTTGTTCTGCAATATGTCTGATGTCTGCGACATGTTTATTGTTTGTGATTTGTCCGATTTCTGCGATATTTTTTGTGTGCAATCTATTTGCATTTGACTCTGATTAGATTCAGAGTCCTGTCTGCGTTCAACTCCGACTCTGAGCCTACTTCTCTCACACCAATCTGAAATCTATCTGTTATCTGTCATATGTCCATTGTCTGCTTGTTGCCTGCGTGCAATCTAAAATTTGTTTGCGATCTGTCATCTGTCCGTTGCTTGTTTGTTGCTTGCGTATGATCTGTTTGGTGGTTGTGATTTGCCTGCGTACGATCTGTTTGGTGTTTGCGCTCTATCTGTTTCGGCTCCGGTAGAGAGACATGACGTTTTCGTCTCTGATGGAGAGTCATGTTGTTTTCGGCTCAGGTGGAGAGACAACTATTTTTGGCTCCAGTGGAGAGTCAATTGTTATTTTTATTTGTGTTTTTGCATCTATATTCAACTTTCTTATCAAACTCAAATTGGTTCCTGTTATACCACTTGAGTTTGAGGGGGGATGTTGAGACATTTTAGATATTCGATTTTAAATTTAATAGATCTATATTTAGATTGGTTTTATCAATATATTAGATTACATAGATTGGAGTCTATCGAGTCCGTTTTGTATTGCCTATATATAAACTCCTTTCTTTTGATAATCAATAAGACAATTTCATTATTTTTCTCCAAAATTTATAACCTCTTATGGTCCAAAACAATAGGGACATTTGAGATTGACAAAGAAATTAAGGAATAATATATTATATTGACAGTGGATGTAAAAGTGTATTGAAAGATCAAAATACCCCTACTTTATGTCATTATTGTGAAAAAATGCGAATAGTTTTGTAAAAATGTGGAGAGTTCGTTACAAAATGGAAATGAGACTATTCTTTTGAAACGGATGAAAATGACAAAATGTGACTATTGTTTTAGGACGGAGGGAGTGTATATTATGTGTGTATTTGTTTGGAGGTTTGGATTTTAGATTTGAAATTTGAAAAAAAAAATTGACCTAAAATAGTTGTAGGATATGATATAAATAAATATACGTGATATGTTAAATATAAAATTAATTTTTAATATAATATAATAATAAAAAAATAAATTTTAATTTGATATTTTTAACAAATAAAATTTAATAAATAATTAATTTGCGGAAAAATCCTATAAAGGAACATACCCTATATATATTTGTAAATTGTCTCAATGAAAAATTATTGGGTGAATAAAACTTAAAAAATTGTTTATATAACCTACTTTTAGTATTAAAATGTTTGCGCCATTTTCCTGTGATTTAGAAACTCTACCGGACTCTTTTGTATTTTAAAAAAAATTGCACAAAATCTCTTAAAAGTTGCACTAGTATTTTATGTTCTTAAAAATATTGCATAGAAACCATAAAAAAAAAAAGATTTATGCAATATTTTTTAAAATGCAAAATAATTTGATACAATTTATAAATAATGAAGAAAAATAGTGCATATTTTTCAACGAAGGCATGAATTATAAGTAATTTTGGCACAAAACTTTAAAATATTAATACAAAACATTATCGTAAAATGCTGCATGTATACAAAGATATTAAATATTATTTATAAATTTAAAATTTTATATAAAATAATATATGAAAATATATAAATGGAATGTTCATTGAGTATACTGTGTTTTTTTAGGTTTGGATTGAAAAAAAAAAAATTTTATTTGAATTTGATATCATTAAAATTAAAATTATAAATGTTTAGACAGTTTTTGATAACTAAAAATATAAAATATATTAGTATTTTAAATTAAGTATTAGACTTTTTGTGATTTTTTATAAGGCAAAACTGCTTATATCCCCTTTGGTTTGGAAATTCAGCTCTGTTTCCCCTTATACTTTAAAAACGGCGTAGGACTCCCTTGTGTTTTCAAAAATCTCGTACACTCTCCCCTTTGATCAGTTTGAGCTAACGACGTTAAATATCTTTTGTAATGGACCGTTATACCATTCCTTTAAATAACTTACTTAACACTCCTTCATTACTTCTCTCTCCCTCGCTTCTCTCCTATCCGTCTCCGCCCACACCTCTCCCCCATCACTATGCCCGACTCGAAGTTCTTATTCCACCCACGAGAAAATCGATCACAGGTTTGAACATTGATCCAACGGCGGCTTTCTCATCAAAAAGTTCATCGATTTGTCATAGAAAAGGGTAGCAATGAACCCAAATTCTTGTAAGTCACCGAGTTCGATCGATTTTGAATGACTTTTGTATTAGGGCTATGGCTTTTCGGCGTTTTTCTTTTTCTACGGTTAGGGCTTTTGAGTATTTTTCTACGGTTTTGGACAATTTCGAGTTGAGAAATTCATCGACTTGTCATAGAAGTGGAATTCAGGGTACATCTTGTACATATATTATGCTTTATATACATATTATATGGTAACCCAAAAACCCTGTCACTGGCTGCGTCCAATTACGAAATTATTTGATTATGTTAATTGAATATTTGTTTTTTGTCTGGCTGTTGTTGGATAGTGTTTAAGGGTGGAGTGGACATATTCTAATGTCGAAAAACACATGAAAAAAAAATTAAAGGATACGAAGCCAAGGAAGAAGGTGAAAACGAAAACATCACATCTATTATGCAAACATCTACCTTGAAATCGAAAATCAGTAGTTGACCAGCTTCGAGGAGGGGATTCGGCGTGTTCTGGGTTTGCTTCAGTTGTGTTAGATCGATTGATCGATAATAGTTGTACTTAATGGGAGTGGAAGGGTAAATTAGGGAATTTGGGTAGTTTAAGATAAGCAACAACAAGTCTACTCTCTTACTCCACGCGTGTATTCCACCTTCCGTTTAACTTTTGTTGTTTGGGGTTAGGCGCAAGATTTTTGAAAACAAGGGGTACTACGCGGTTTTTAAAGTACAGGGGAAAGAGCGCCAAGTTTCCAAATCACAGGGGATATAAGCAGTTTCGTCTTTTTATAATAGTATTTGATTTTTATTTTTATTTAATTTTTGTAAAATATTAGTATTTTTTATTTATTATTATTTTAGAATACAGTAATTAAAAGTCCGCTTGTTTAGCAAAGTTTTCACAAATTTTATTATTTAAACTTTGTCGGAAAAAAAAAGAAAAATATTTTTTCTCTAATAAAATATTCAATCAAATTATTTTTATAACAAATTCAAATTAATTTTTTTTTCAAATTCATAAAAAGATACACGCCCTAAAGAAATCCTCTGTCCCATGTCTGCTGCACTATTTTGTAATTAAGAATGTATTAGTTAAAATAATTATCTTATAATATAAATAATTATAAATTAAGATTAAGATAACTAATTAGTTTAATTAAAATTAAAAAAAAATAAAATTAAAAGATTTAAAATAAGAGTGTGGAATCAATTTTAAAAACAAAAAAGTGACCGTGACGGAGAAATGGCAAAGTGTAAATGATATCTGGGACAGAGGGAGTATTATTGAAACAACAGTGTATATATAGTTACAGTAGCTTCTGCCGAAGTATAGAGGCAAACTTCATAATTGTCTGTGGAATGATTTAGGCAAGTTTCCTTATCCGACTTGTTTCCGAACACAGACAGCATAAGAGTCGATCGGTATGCCGACCAAGGTGCTTGAAACCTGTCGAATATCACCTCCGGCGGGCGGCGAGATATCTGTTCCCCTCTCTTTCTTCGACCTCCCATGGATCCATTTCCACCCCATCCGACGCCTCCTATTCTACGAATACCCACCGCCACCGGCTTGTTCCGACTCTGACTCCCTTTTCTTCGAAACCATCGTTCCACAACTCAAACGATCGCTCTCCCTCACTCTCGCCCGCTACCTTCCAGTCGCCGGCAATTTGGTCTACCCTGACCCAGACCCAGACCCTGACCCTGACGTAAAAGTCAAAAAACCCATTATCCGTTATGTAGCTGGAGATTCCGTTTCTCTGACAGTCGCCGAGTCCACCTGTGATTTCGACGAGCTCGTGGGGAATTGTGCGCGAGATGCTGATCAGTTCTACGATTTCGTGCCGCAGCTGCCACCACCCGTAGCAGACGATGGATCCAGCTGCAATTGCAAAGCCAAAGCCGTCCCCGTAATGGCCCTAAAAGTGACTCTCTTCCCGCCGGGGCGTGGTATATGTTTTGGTTTCGTCAATAACCATTGTCTTGGCGATGCGAGCTCCATTGTAGGCTTTATTCAGGCATGGGCTGACACCACCAAACTCCTCCTCCTCATTAGTGCTGGTAACAGTAGTAGCCTCAGCCTCAGGGGAGAAGAGAAATTATTAGCTTTAGCTGCTGCTGAGGATGGGGATAGGGATATTATTGATTCCAGCTTGCCCTTGCCCCCAGTAATTTTTGATAGATCAGTCATCAGTGATCCGCTCGGGATTGACGATATCTTTTGGGAAGTCTTGAAAAAAGTCCCTTTGAAGTCATCGACGTTTCCTGTGCCTACCAACCGGGTGAGAGCCACATTCACCCTCCACCCGGCCGACATAGAAAAACTCAAGAATGTGGTTTCGGGCAAGAAACCGGGTCTGGTCGTGTCGTCGTTCGTGGTGACAGCATCCTATGTGTGGAGGTGCTTGGTGAAGTCTGGGGAGGAAGCAGAAGCTGATGATGACGACGAGTACGAGTACTTCATCTTCGCAGTGGATATTAGGGGAAGGATAAATCCGCCGGTGCCTGCCAACTACTTTGGAAACTGCCTGAGTTACGGGATGGCGAAGATCGAGCACAGAGAGTTAGTCGGGGAAGAAGGGTTCGTGATTGCCGCGGAGGCGGTGGCGAAGGACATCAAGAACAGGGTAAACAACAAGGAGGAGGTGTTGAAAGGAGCCGAGAACTGGATGTCGGATATGAAGAAATATCAGGGGATTAGGGTGCTTGGAGTGTCGGGGTCCCCGAAATTCGATCTGCCCGGCGTAGACTTTGGGTGGGGAAGGGCGAGGAAGCTGGAAGTGCTGTCCATCGACGGGGAGGAGTACTCCATGTCCTTGTGCCGCTCAGGCCGGGGATTGGAGATCGGACTGTCCTTGCCCAGGCCCAGGATGGAGGCCTTTGCAGCCCTGTTCACCCAGGGGATCGATTGATATTATCTCCTCTTCCTCTTCCTAATTCAAATCCATCTCCATCTCCATCTCCATCTCCATCTCCTTGTTATTATCATTATCATTGTACTAACTAATATCCAAGAAATGAAAGCCATTTCATTTTCAATAATATCATGTCCCGCTGCACGCCAACTAGTATTATTTATTGCCCCATATTGTATAACAAATCAGCCATGATGAGATGTATCTGCATTATTTGCAGTTTTATTATTATTTTTTTCCCTCACAGATGTTCAATTATGTTAATTAAGTATGCAAGGTATCTCAACTTTCCATTTCTTTTTTTTTATCAATGTTTTTCTTATAGAAGATATGAAAAATTATCTCCCATTATAAAAAATAATATTTTATATTGAATACATTTTATGAATTAATAAAAATATATTTTCTTCATCTTTTTAATAAATTATATCTATTTTTTAATTTTGGTTTGCCTCAAAATAATATATTCATTTCTTTTTTTTAATAACATTTACTATAAAAAAATAATTATTTTATAACAATAATTAGGGACAACATTAGCTAGCGTGAATTTTAGAAACAAAATTTAATAAATTTCGTCTTTAATGTCATTAGTAATTAAAAAAATGGATTTGAGGATGAAAAAATTTTGTTACAAAAATTTTATTTTCTTATAGTGCATATAATCACCTACTATTAAAAATACACTTAAACTTACACTATCTTGCCAAAATACCATTACAATATTTATAATCAAATTACAAAATTAAAAACACAATTACTAAAAAACTAAACTAAACCCCACTTAATTTAATCTACCTATTACCTAAAACATCCCCGCACTTTAATGTGTGACTACTCGATTTAGAGTTTCTAAAATTCTTTCTTTTCACTCATTGACTCGCCTCCTTCGTTCGCCCCTTCTTCGCCGTTCTACATTTTTTTGAGCAACTCCACCGACAATGTCCCTCGCCCCTCGGTCTTCGGTGCCGGCAGAAGGGTGTTCCCTCTTGCAAAGGGTTAGACCTCCTTCGAATCGAGTGGTCACGCATATGTTTAGCTAATATGATGTTTTCCTTGATTTCCTGCTCCATGCCTAGAAATCTCTCGAGGTAGTGGCCGGATCTACATAGTTGGATCTCGTTTTGGTCGTTCTGCATGGTTTTGCTCCCGATTAAGAATCGGAGCAGGAACTGAAGAACGAGCTCCATTCCGCAGCTGTCTATACTTGTCGAACTCTGTTTCGATATTCCGCCTACAATATCCGTCGTAGAATCAAAACAACTTTCTCGAGCTGCTCTTCCGCCCATAAGGTGGTGTTAATGCTTAGAATTTATTGTCCTCTCGCCTTCGATGAACCTGCAACAGTGATGGAGATAACTGTTTGATTCCCTTTTTAAACACGTTCATTTTATGTTTTGTAACAAAAGTTTCAAAAGTTTTGTTAAAGTAAAAGATTTTGAGACTTCACTGAAAATTTTCAAGTGCTAATGCTCAGATTCTATTATATTTTTTATAAGCACCCTCACTAACTATTCCAATTAATGATTGGAATTCTCTTAACACGGGATGTCGAACTAGATAGATGAGGTATATTTTCTATTTAATTGGATGCCTTAGCTAACTTGAAAATGATTTCTTGGCCTTGGGATTGCGTGTGTGGCAAATCTCTTTTGTTAGTTGAAATATGTAGATTGAGATAATGATATGTTTCCTCTAATATACATCTAAATGTATCTCACGTTAATATGAGATTTGGAGACTTATACTAAGTATAATGTCATCACTTATCTCACGTGAGCATTGTCCCTTCATGAATTCATTAAAATGCATAAAAATTTAGTGAATTCTAACACTTCGTGCTCCTTTTAAATGTAAAAGTGTTTGGCCCTTGTCCCATGCTGAAATATGATCTTGTAATATAAGACAAGTGTCCCGATTCTCAAAAATTTTAGTTCTTACGAAATTTTTCACAATGCAATATTGCCCCACACTGTCATGAAAATACAATATGAAAGTGATTGCTAGTTTAGTGTTACATGAAATACTGTGTGAAAAATGAAATCATAAAATTTAGTTAAATGATGGACTTTTTTCATGTGTTGCCATTGCAAATGCTGATGAGTTTGTATTACAACTAATTTTACATTGTTTGCCAATAACATATTATTAGTCATTATCAAACTCATTTAGAAAAAAATACCTACTTATACACATTTTATAAAGTTCCACTATTATTTACAAAATATGAAGCTTGGACAAAACCTTTTCGGTCATTCAAATTATTTTCTCAATGTATGTAATAAAATCCTCCAAACCTAGAGTCTCATTTGCCCTGATAAGGGTGTCAATACTTGATTTGATCAACTCTCATTCAATCTCCAAGTTTGTAGGTAACTTATTAGTTATTGTCATAGCCCCTATACCAATGTGATGATGTTTGTAGTTATTTTCACCATTGCATGCCATGATTTCCCTAGTACAAGCCTGCAAACTTAAGAAAATATTATTCAACATTGTGTGGGTCAATTCCTAAAAGGATTTTGTAACAACAACTACCAATTTATCCACAGTACTTGTTGTTGTAACTTGTAATGATTATATTGCCTGAAACCAACCTAAGTTATTTATGTTAGTAGACGGGCTGTTTGAGGGATGAAAAATATGGTGGATATCAAATTTATCGGCACTTGCAACCCTCCTAAAGTCCGTATCGTTGTCTTCAATGTGCGGTTTAGTCTTATCTTGTTGTATGAGAATCTGTTTTACTTGTTGTTTCTGGCCATTTTTGTCTTTATGATTTGAAGTACCTGAAATTTTATACTATATAAATGAGTTTTTTAATATGATAAATATATTTAATATGCAAAAATACATACGTACATGATTTTGTGATTGATTCCAAAGTAATAATATAGTTAATTATCACACGTCTTTCTTCCATGGCAAGTCTCCACCCTTTCTTCCACGGAGAATTTCCAGCAGCGCCGAGCGGACTGTTCTTCCTCCCCAGATCTCCAACACACTATTGTTCTTCCTCCCCAAATCTCCAATACCGGTCAAAGCTGAGTTTTTTTCAGCATAATACCAACAATTTTTCTTCAATAGGCGAAATCTTTTCTCCAACCCTTCCACCACATAGACGAATCCTAAACCCACCTTTCCGAACACGATTGATACTCAAAACTTATCTTGTTCACCAATAACAATTATTCTCCATAAGATTTGTATGGATTGAAAATCCTTTCTAAAAATCGGATTTTTGTATTGACCGTTCTGGTTCTGGAGCGAACCATGGTTGGTATCAAAAGGAGTTGTTAAATTGGAATATGTTAGCACAAAAAAGACAACCAACATACATTCTAACAAATGCGTTGCAGGAGGCGAAAGTTCAATCAATTCCATGCGATGAAGAAAGTTGAAAATATCTTCACTTGAATTAAGGGGTGGAATGTTAGATTAATTGAAGTAATTATTATTATTATTATTATTATTATTATTATTATTAGAATTAGATTTATTTAAATTTAAATCTATTAGATGTGAATTGTATCATTGCATTATCGTTTAAGAAGTTATTAAAAGGATGTGTTGATTTATTTGTAATTAACTATATTTATTTATAAACTTTCAAATTTATTTGTATAAGACAATATAAACTATTTTAAATTTCTTTCTCTGCGCACAATTTTTTATTTTTATTTTTTATCAGAGACACCAAACTTACGCATTCCAATTCCTATTCCAAATTCAAAACATATTACATGGAATCATAATTCCAATATATATATATATATATAGAACAATAATGGTTTTCTATCCCATTGTAATTAATTTATTTCCTTCTCTCAAATTAATATTGCTAGCTAGCTAGCGTTCCTCAGACGTTTGTATGTACGGGTTGGGTTTACGTACGTTACAGCTGAATTACTGTGTATGTTGCCAAAGGGGAATATAGGATGCGAGATCTTCTTCAGAATAAAATACTGCTGTTTCAGTATTCATCATGAAATTCGTGCCACTACTACTGCAGGCGGACTCCTCGTCAGCCATCCATTTCTGCACCTGCTGCTCATAATATTGATCTGTAGCAGGAATCATGGGGAAATCAATGCCCATGTCCATGTCCATCTCGACTTGCTTGCACCCATATATACTCCTAACTCCACTATCATCATCACCGGCTTGGGCTTTTGTCACGCTGAAGATATTCCTTGAAGCGAGTTGTTGATCGTGATCTTGGCGACCATTGGTGGTAGAGGTACTAGTGTTTATGATTCCAGCAGCATTGGGAGTGGCATTATAACCTGAAGACAAATATATCCATCTCAAGACTTTTGAAAATCTACTACTACGTTAACGTTGTTGCATGCATGGTGCAATAATATTATCAATTGTAATCACTTACTTACTTGTTCCATATAAGTACAATTCATCCGGGAGAGGGTCCAAGTTGACATCATCAATATCATCAGTCCTGCAGCTTTTAAGGTTTTCTGAAGATGAAGAATAACCATTGTTGTAGTCCTTGGCCGCAAGTTGTTCCTCCTCCTGAATATGAACACTTGTTGTCCAAGTGCCAAGATCAGATTGACCAGATAATGATGATGACGATGATGATGATAATGATGGCTTCTCTGCAGCTGCAACAACATGACCTACTGCAGTAGGATCTTGATTGTTGATATATTGCTTCTTTAAGTGGGAGTGCCAGTGATTTTTTATTTCATTGTCACTTCTTCCAGGCAGCTTTGCAGCAATTAGTGACCATCTGTGCATGTTAACCACCTCATTCGTTAATCAAAGTAACATATATCTAGTTTGTGGATGGTTTGGTAGTGTGAGGATGGATTCGACTGTGAAGTCATCGGTCAAACCCCGACGCTTCCAGGTCTTGCTTGTCATATATGGTTCGCCTAATGCGACTTCTCATATCGGATCTAATTTATAGGCTATTAAGTTCGACTACACGTTTTTTAGACAACAACTGCGAATTTCTATGTTTTATTTTTTTTTTTTAAAAAAAAAGTAATAGGATTTGTTCACTTTCACCAATACTATATAAATTAAAATACCATGGATTACTTGTTTCTAATAATTTTCTTTTTTTTTTAAAAAAAAAAATAGAATTAATTAAATATTTAATAATATATTTACAATTCATAATGACTAACAATAAAAATACTACAAATTTCTAAATACAAGAACAAGACAATACAAGTAGGTTGTTTTTAGGATGATGATTTGATAACATATTATATATGTATAAATAAAACATTCCAAATATATAAATATAAAATCATTTTATATTATTACAATACAAATGAAATATATGAATTATCATATGGTAAAACAGCATACTATATAAAATGTAATAAACAATACATGCTAATAATATACTCTTGCTATCCAAAATATTTGTATTTTTTACATTTTACATTGCTTTTGCTTTAATATTAAAGGTAAAATAGAAATACTGTATTACACTATATATTTATAAAATAGTAATTTACCTTAATACTTGTGAAAAAGTCAAATAAAAACTTAAGCAGTAAATGAGGGTAGTATATAGTATATGTCGTTTCGACGGAAATATTGTGTATAAGATTACAAATTGGGTCTGTTTTTTTAGATCAATTTTTTTAAAATTTTATTATTTGGATTTTGCTTTCCCGAAGAAAATACAATTTTTTCTTCTTATAAAACATCTAATTAAACGTTATTTTAATACCAAACTCAAACCAAATTTTTCCAATCAAACTCAATATAGAGTTGAAAGATTAGCCTTTATAAGCACATCATAAAACTGCATACAATGCATTGTTTTAATTAAAATAGAATGCCTTTCATGTGTTTATTTTTGTTTTTAGTTTTTATTTTTTTATTTTTTGTCGGTTCATGTATATATATATATATATATATGCACATATATGTTACGGTAATATGTAATATTTGTTGGAACTAATTTGAGAATGTATTATATTAACTAGGATCATATACTATCAATATTTGCTTTTTACGTTAATATATAATTTTGTGATCAAATTATTTATATTATGTATTATTTACCACCGTCTCACCAAAATTGATATTATTTTTATTTCCGTCTGTCTTATATCAATTGACATCTTTCTACTTTAAAAAAGATTTACTAAATCAAAATATAATTAACAAATATAAATTAACTTAATTAATTATATAATATACAACATCATGAATCACCCACTCAAAAGCCCCATTTATTTTTATGTCTCTTCTAAAAAGATAAATATTTTTATCTATATTTAAAATTCCAACTCTTTTATAAAATTAATTTATGTTAATTATAAATAAATAAAAGTATTTTTTACTTGTATCATAGAAAATTTTATTCTATATAAAATGATATCTATATTGTATATATTTTTTATTGTTATATAATATTTAAATATATATTTTAATATTTCCAATCATATATATTACATTTACTTTAAATATCAAAATTAATCACATACAAAATAATATCCAATCATATATATTACATTTACTTTAAATATCAAAATTAATCACATACAAAATAATATCATACCTCATTTTTATGAACTAATTAAATATTTTTATCTTCCTAATCAAAAGAGAAGATTCAACTATTAAGGGAGGAGAGAGTATTATTATATGTGTAATGTGTATGCTAACTAAGGCAACTTAACAACCAATATGCATGAAACAAGATAGATGTATTATAAATCATCAAATCCTCTTAATGAATGAAGTACAAGTACGTGTGTAGTGTATGAATATCTAATTACCTATTTCCAAGTTGGAAATGCAATCTGACGATGAGATCCTCTTCGTGCTTGGTGAAATTCCCGCGTTTCACACCAGGCCTCAGATAGTTCATCCACCTCAGTCTGCAACTCTTTCCACATCTTGCCAAACCTGCATGCATGTATATGTATATGTAATTCAAATAACAAAAAACCTTATTAATTTTGCAACATCTACACACTCTCTATCTCATCCAATTCTATATTTATTTGGTCGGACATAAACTTTTAAAAAATTATAATAATAAGAATATAAATTTATAATTTTTAGGATAAAAAAAATATAAAAAATTATTTTTACTAAAAAAAAAACAAAAATAAATTTAGATGACAATCGAACAAAAAAAAATACGAATAAAGTTCAATAAAAAGAGAGACGGGTCTTGAGCATCATGTATTATGTAGGCGAGTTCCACTAGAGCAGCCTATATATATATATAGAGAGAGAGAGAGAGAGACGGGTCTTGAGCAAATATAAAAATAGGCCTTATAAACTTAAAAAGTATAGCTATATTTTAAATAATAAATGTAATATTTTATTAAATTTTTTTATATATTTTACAAACAACAAAATTACAATATTAAAAAATAAGTGTAAAAAAAATAAAATTGCTAACTTATTCTTATTTAAAAACTCTTGTTCTTTTAGCATTTTTTAAGTAAATTAATCAGTCAAATATTTGTAACCATTTTTTCTAAAATCTCGTTTACAATTGCAACTAAAGTTGGTCATTTAAAATTTTTCTGTCATATAAAACTACGTAAGTAAGACCTTAATTAATTTTAAAATTAAGTAGACTATAAATTTGGGGATGATTTATTAAAATTGACTAGACTATAAATTTAGGACTGATTTATTAAAATTGACTAGACTATAAATTTAATTGAACAAATTTAATATCATTATATAATTTATATGTATATTTAATGACTATTCTAATTGTCAAAGAAATTTGTTTGATATTATTGATAAAAGTTTTGGTAATGATTATAATCTGTTTGTAATATTTTTATTTTTTCAATAAACATTTCATTGTGTAATTTTAACATATCTAATGTAATATTTATATCTATTATTAGTTTACTAAAATATATACTTATATATATTATATTGACATATATATTAACGGCCCTATAAATTAGAGGTCCTGTACGATCACTTATGAACACATGTTAAGAGCCGACTATATATATATATATATATATATCATCAAGGTTGCAGCTTAAGATTAAGCAATTAAGTTACACACTCATTTAATTTGTTGGTTTGACAATAATTAGCAATCGAGCTACCTAACTACCTAGATCACACGTATGAGCGGCCATACTATACATGTCATGTGTATAATTAATACTAATAATTTATCCATATATCCAGTGATGGAACCAGCAGTAAAAGTCCGGAGAAGTAAAATCGATTTTTTTTACCGATTCAATGTTATTTTTTTTATTCATAGTACATCCTGTCAAAAAAGTAAAAATGGAATTTAAATATTTTATAAAAAACTTTCAACAAAATTACATAAAATTTAATATTTTCTTACTATAAAAAATAAAATTTAAAGATTAAAAGTATAAATCAACAAACGGATAAATTTTTTATGATTTTTTAAATTACAAAATAAAAAATTAGGAGGGACAAATTACTATAAAATACATAATTTTATTATTTTTTGTATAAAAAAATACATATATTTTGAGGGTTGGAGAGTCACCCCTAGTCCCCATGTAGTTCGGCCTTTGCATATATCTAATCTAGAGATTGAGGATGGGGTAATTATTAGGGTTTTGATTTAATTAGTTAATTAGGGTTTATAGACGAAGAACCAAGCGGCTAGCCATGCATGCCAAGGCAGGCTAGGGCACAGTGTTGAATTCACTCTGGCGGGTTTGCATAAGAATGAATGAATGAAGAAGAGAGAAAGAAAAAGTAGGTATATATATATATGTATATATATATATATAAATAGGTGGTCATCCGATCCGATCCGATCGACAGAACCGATGGAAGCGTAGCGTACCGGCAGAAATGGGGAGGAGGCGCCAAGTGGTGGTGGGGTGGGCGCCGCGCTGAATGTAATCCCGGAGCTTGGCGTCCTCTTCTCGGCTCCAAGCCCCTTTCTTCAAGCCGGTCCGCCTGTCCACGTACGCTGCCCTCACCATTAATATACGTACTATATAATTATGTTAACGTTATTAACTAATTCATGCGTAGATCGATCGCAAGAAGCAGCAGTAGAATATATACTTGTATATATATAATGGCCAATTATTTAAGTTTGAAGAATTCGTCCCGCGCGTGTTAACGTTGACGGGCGTGATGTCGGCCAAGTCCAACCAAAAACGGGACAAGGAGAGGATCCCGTCCATCGCACTCTATCTATTTAATTTTAAAATTCTCTTATTATATACAATATAACTAACCAACCAACCAATATTGTTGTCCGCAGCCCATCCCAGCTACAAAACAAATTAATATATATATAGTAGGGATGGGGATGGGATACAAACACATACACCCACCTAATAATTAGGGAACCTTCCACACTCATCATTAACAACCAATCTCCCGACTATCATCTATCTATCTATATAGATAGTCTAATAGTCATATCCCCATATATCCTTACCCATATATATATATATATATATATATATATATATACACACGCCGATTATTTACATATACAAATTTATTATAAATAGTATTATGTAATTGTTATCTTCAAAAAATGAATTACAATAATTTTTCTTTTTGGAATAATTATCGGATTTGCACCAAAAATAAATAAATAAAACTACATTAGGTCCTGGACGCGCCAAAAGTAAAAGCTGCTCATGTCAATTGTTGTCTTATATCTACAAATTAAAAGGCTGATAAATAAACGTGTCTTAAATGAAATAAACTGAGGGTGTATTTTTTTTTTCGCTTTGTTCAACATGGTTTTTATTTTAAAATACTATATATATATATATATTACAAATTTATTATTTTTATATTATTTATATCATTTATGTTATGAGAAAATGAAAAAAAAAAAAAAAACAAATAAAAAACACAGACGTTTTACGAGGTTGGGTAACGGTAAATTAACCTATGTCAAGTTTCAACAATTTTCTATATTTTTCATAAAAAAAAATTCTTTCAAATTATATCACAAAACAAGCCTTAAAATTAGATAAGAAAGAAAAAAGAGCTCAATATTAATCCACGCAAAAAAAATAAGGCTTAAAATTAATACAAGGTAAAATAAATTAATGAGACGATTTATGGGCTACAGGCGTGCATGTCCGTCCAGTCCACCCCACCCCAGATCGATGTCGAGGTCATTAACATGGATTCAGGGGAGGACAGCTAATGATCTGGTTCCCTAGCTGCATATTTCATGTATGTGTATAATTGTTATCCCCGTAATAATTATTGAATTAGATTCAAACCAATACAAGACAGACTCAAAGATCCACAAAATCAACTCAGAGAAGAAGCAACCCAACTCGAATGAACGAGAAAAAAAGATCCAAAGCTCACAAAATCGGTTCGAAGGAGAAGCAACCCAGCTCGGATGAGAGCCCAAAATAGTCCAGCCCCAAATTCATCTCATATGTGGAAGATCAGGTAGATGAAGAATGTGGAAGAAGCGGAGAAGCTAGGGTCTGTTTCTCCAGCCCAATTTTGGGGGCTGGACGGGGTTTTGGGGACAGCCTGTGAGTCTGTCCTTTTTCTTTTTTCTTTTTTAAAAAAATTATAAATATAAAAAAATTATAATAATTATAATTTAATAAAATATATACAATATATATGTCATTTTGTAGATAATAAATTTTTTATAATACAAATAAATAAAAATTTAAAAAAATATATAAATATAATATAAATTTATAATTAAATTCTACAAATACTATACATTTATATTATTATATTCATACCCATCAAATCAATATACATCAAAACTCCTTAAACTCCAACCAAACTCAAACCCAAAAGAAACATCAAAATTCAAACCCATTTCAAAATTCAAATAAAAACCAAACCCAAACCCAAACCCAAATTTTCCCAAAACCTCCTAAAGAAACACACCCTTAGTTCCTAAAATAAATAGAAGTGGAGAAAAATTAGGAAGATGTGATCTAAAACAAAGGGAAGTGTGGCACAAGGCTAAAAAAAAGGGACGATTAAAGAGTGAATATCATTCGATTTAGTGCAATAGCAACAACTTCAGTCCATTTTATTCCCTTTTTCCTTGCATAAGTTCATTGATTTTGCTTTATTTAAATTCTTGTTACTAAATCATATTATTTCCTTTCATCCGTTCAAGTTATCTTAATTCATTCTGTCATTATTTCTACATTTTTTCACTTCGGTACAATACCTCATTTCTTGCAAATCTTTATACCAATTTACTTTTGCGTGAGATTTAGACCGGATACTTTATTGAGTAGGCTGAGAAACCCGATTATTGTCGATTTCGACTGGCCTAAATTTATCGGGCCGCCATCGAAGAATTTCAGCGACAACAGATCGGTATGCTTGATGAGACTCCGATGAGTCTCGCATTTTTTATGCAACTGAGGAGTTGAAAATTACCATCGCCAGAAAAATCTACAATGTCGAAAGATAAGGAAACAACCGGTGAAATCTCAGCATTACGCACACCTGGAGAACTCACGTAGGATGAGTCCTCTGCTGCTCCAAGGAGTGGAGAAATGATGGTGACTATTCCTACAAGAGTCCTCCAAAATCAGATCCGGGGGGAGATCCAAACGGCCTTCCACAAGTCGGCATTGACACTCTCCCAATATCTCGCAGACGTCTTGAAGCCAACTATCCAAAACGAGATCGCATGGGCGAGAGAGGAGGAGCAGCGAAAAGGTAAAGCGCCGGAAGCCGGTCCCAGAGATGACAAAAATGCACTTCCGACGAAGGTAACACAAGAGGACACGTCTGAACACCCTCCAACGACGCTCCAGTATGGTAACATCACCATACTAGGCAAGGAAAATAAAAATAATAACCTCCCGGATGAGACAGTGGCTGAAGGACCTTGGCGGTCCTTGGCAAAGGCCATCTTAGGCCGCCGCCGCATCAGGGACATCCGGGGAATAACGGGTACACACTGCCGCCCACCCAATGGCAAAATAATCCTTTATTCGGTGGTGTGAGCGCGCCCACATCACTCGCGGGGGCGAACGGTCGAGGAAATGTCCGTGTCAGAGAAGAAACTGTTGGCTCTTGGGGGGCACAGCCGTACATGGCCTAATCACCTCCGGCCACTCCTCCGGCTCCGGAGATGACTTGGGGGGCATTCGCCTCACCTCCAAACCCACCCTGGGGGGCAACTTCTGCTCCTCCGGCTCCATGGGGGTCAACGCCGTCGGCTGTAGAAGTTGCTTGGGGCTTGAGTGCACCAGGTCCGGGCATGCCGCCTCCACCCAGGGGGCAGGCAACATATCACGAAACTCCCCCCGCCAGACCAGCCGCCCAACATGTGTAAAGACCTCCACAGGGTCCCCAATTCAGTTCGGTAAACTTGTCCCGCCACCGGCAGCACTTCCGTGATTAATAGCCGAGGGGAATCGAGGACGTCCACCTCCGGTCACCCTCCACATGGTCATCAATAATACTTTCCTCGCACCCAGCCAGGTCTAGGACAGCCTAGAGGATATACCGATATTGCTCCCCCGTTGCAACCGATTATTAATCCACAGGCCATCGAGAAAGCAATTTGGAGGTTGTATGGAGACCCCATTCGGCTGCCCGTTAGACCCTATTACCACGGCCATTCGCGGATCAAGTTTTCATTGATCATCCGCTCCCCCGGATGCACGTTTTCCGGAGTTCACATTTTTTCAGAAGAAGACTCACGGTCTACTATCGAGCATATCGGCCGATTTACGGCACAATGCGGAGGAGAATTTGGGACCAACAAATGGTTTAAGCTCCAACTATTCTTGTTATCCCTCACAGGACCAGCATTCATGTGGTATGCGTCTTTTCCGCCAAATTTGTGCAACACATGGGCAAACCTCGAAAGAGCATTCCACCAATGCTTTTACAGCCCGTTGCCAGAGGTGATGGCATCGGACCTGACCAAACTTTAGAAGACGCATGATGAACCGGTGGAATAGTTTTTGAAGAGGTTCCGCAGGGCAGAGAGGTGATGTCAGGTCCGGATACTTGAAAATCAAGTGGTTAATATGGCCATTGGTAAAATGACATGCCAGCTCTATGAGAAACTAGCTTTATAGGAATACAACGACCTCCGGAAGCTTGCTAGAAAAGCATGTAAAGCAGAACAACTCCTTCGGGATTCCCCAGCAGCTAGACAGCAGAAATTCTAAAGCAAAGCACATTTTGTCCAAGTCTAAGAGGACAAAGCTGATTGCCCGGAAGAGCCAGAGAAGACATTCCTGGCTGAAATATCGCATGGAAAGACGTATACTTGTCCGGCGCTCAAAGTACCTTGGAGAAAGGAGACCAATCCTAAGGTACAATATGCTTTCGATATATTTAAAACCAAGCAAATATTTGACATTTTGTTGAAGGATAATCAGCTCCGATTTAAAAAGGCCATAAAATGCCATCCGATGAGGAATTGGGTGGAGAAACATATTGCAAATTACATGGCTTGTATGGACACCAGGTTGGGAGTTGTATCACTTTCAGAAACGCGGTACAAAAGGCTATGAAGGTGGGCCTTCTATGGCTGGCCGATAAGCAGGAGATGAAAATTGACACGGAGCCATTCCCGGCTCAAATTAATAACGTCGGTATCCGCCCTAGTAGGAGGAACCGATCAGCATAAGGTAGCAAGCCAAGTTTTGAGCAGACCGCACTAAGGAGGAATTTATTTGAATGATTGGGGAGGTGCATAAACCCCTACGGAGGAGTTCAATATGGAATCACCTCTCGCCATATAATACAGTGGCCGAAGTTAGCTTTAAAAAGAATGGCGAAGTGTGGCAAGTGACTTCAATCGAACAAGTGGTGATAACTCCTCATAGTATGTGATGGCCGGAAAGGCCACCAAATGATGAGATGGACAGATAATCGAAAAAGGATCCAATCACTGACCAGAACCCAACGGCGGAGACGGAAGCGTCAAGCCACACGCCTTGCAGAATAGGAACAATAGTGTGAGCAGTCCTCCGGAGAGCAGGGGAAGATTATTATGACTGAGGAAACACCT